CACCGTCGGACCGCCACCACCACCATCACCTATTTCTATTATCATCTAGAACCACCATTCACAAAGTGTTGTAGGTGAAGAAAGAGAAGAAGAAGGAAGATGGAGGAGAAAGAAACAAAGTTAGAGAAGTTTATTTTGAAGTTCAAAAGTTGGTTTTCGGCTTACTTTCGGCATGCCAAAACCATCCATTCCGGGAAGAAGTGAGACAAATAGGCCATGCAGCAATACTTTGTCGAATTGGAAAGGTTCAATGAAGATAGAGCAATGATGATTTTACATCCAACAAATTTGGCGTCAACCCAGTTAGCATCAAACAAGGATAGTGATGTGTTCCCAGAAGAATTACTAGGACTACCCCCAAAGCGAGAAGTAGACTTTACCATTGAACTACAACCTGGTATATCTAGACCAAACACTCGGTCCTACTCAGTACATGACCAGTGAATAAATTCATTTATTCACCCACCTCACCCAAGCTCCACGCTTATCCGGGCATATTGGTGTAAACAATTAATAAGATTCACTCGATCCATGTACGGAGTATTTCTATGTCATTCGGTCAGATAAATCACCATTTAACCCAGAATATTTGTAGAGAATTTTACCAAATGATCAGAATATCAACGATTCAGCAACAAATGATTTTACGAAATCTATTAATAACCATATTAATCAAGTGGATTACAAATTGAGAATAATTTAAAATAAGAGAATTCTTTGCAAAGAGATTTAAATAGAACATATTGTATACAACCTGAATTTACCTCATAATAATTGACTTCATCACCATAAATCTGAAATTGCTCCATGGATCTCCAAAAATAACTTTGATCAAACTTCTAAAACATAAAGTATGTATAATTTAATAAAATCTACAACTCTCACTTTATTTATTTATTTTATAAAATACTCATTTTCACTCCAAACACTCCAATATCTAAATTTAATATTTCTACTCTACGCAATTTATGAGAGATTTATGAGAGGGGAAGAACCGAACGAAGAGATGAATGTGAGGAGCTACCCTCAGTCTGAGCTGATTTATAGAGGGATAAAGGAATGAAAGAAGAATAAAAAAATTAAAAGAAATGTAAAGTTCAAATGATGGATGGTGGTATTGGTGTGGCAAGTCAGTGGGTTAACAGCCCACGGTTTTGTCTTGTTTGTATTTTTTATTTTTTATTTTTTATTTTTCTCTTCTTCTTCTCACATGATGGGGAATGGTAAATTGATTTATTAAATAACAATGTGATAGATATAAAAGAGATGAGATAAATACAAATAAATAATTTAAAATTTTGATTCTTAGCTAAAAATCTCATTACTAAATTATCATAATAAACCACCAATACCACTCACTAAATATTAATACTTTAAAAATACGGGGTGTCACAATCTATCCCCCTTAAAATAATTTCGTCCTCGAAATTTCAATCCGTAATGTTCTAAAATTTAATCTCAACTAAAACTCCAAATAACATGGTTCCGCTACACACTCTGATATAAAAAAATGATTTTTTTTTCCTCACCTTAAATATCAACCTTTTTTTTTTTTTTTTTTCGTTATACTCACCACCCAATAGATCCCATATAAGACCTAATCCCTACGCTCTGATACCATTTTGTAACGCCCCACTTTCGGGTCGTTAAATACACTAAAATAGCCTCAAAAAAATACAAGTTTTGCTCCTAAAAATAATAATTACAAAATTGTCTCCAAATGGTACAATATCCTCCAAATATTCTAATTACCTCCAAAATAAATAATATTACAACTATCTCCCTATTTAATAATTAAAGTGGTGGATCCCAAATCTCTGTATTAATAAATCTTTCTAATCTCAATTTCGAGCTCTGCTAAAATCTGCTTCGCACCTGAAAAATAAATTAATTCAGGAAGTATACAATATGACAGGATTACAAGGCTCGGATACAGAATAGATTAACAGGAACCCAATAATTTATGACACAAAATCAACGATATGATGATCAAGCAATTTACCAAATTGCACAACAAAGCAACCATAATTTATCTAGACCAAATACTCAGTCCTACTCAGTACATGACCAGTGAATAAATTCATTTATTTACCCACCTCACCCAAGCTCAACGCTTATCCGGGCATATTGGTGTAAACAATTAATAAGATTCACTCGATCCATGTACGGAGTATTTCTATGTCATTCGGTCAGATAAATCACCATTTAACCCAGAATATTTGTAGAGAATTTTACCAAATGATCAGAATATCAACGATTCAGCAACAAATGATTTTATGAAATTTATTAATAACCACATTAATCAAGTGGATTACAAATTGAGAATAATTTAAAATAAGAGAACTCTTTGCAAAGAGATTTAAATAAAACATATTGTATACAACCTGAATTTACCTCATAATAATTGACTTCGTCACCATAAATCTGAAATTGCTCCATGGATCTCCAAAAATAACTTTGATCAAACTTCTAAAACATAAAGTATGTATAATTTAATAAAATCTACAACTCTCACTTTATTTATTTATTGTGACACCCCGTATTTTTAAAGTATTAATATTTAGTGAGTGGTATTGGTGGTTTATTATGATAATTTAGTAATGAGATATTTAGCTAAGAATCAAAATTTTAAATTATTTATTTGTATTTATTTCATCTCTTTTATATCTATCATATTGTTATTTAATAAATCAATTTATCATTCCCCATCATGTGAGAAGAAGAAGAGAAAAAAAAAAATTAAAAAAAATGTAAAGTTCAAATGATGGATGGTGGTATTGGTGTGGCAAGTCAGTGTTTTGTCATAACTAAACACTAGCATGAATTCATAATTAATACCACAAAATGCTCATAACAGCATGTAATACACACCTTTTACCAAAGTACCTACCATAAAATTTTGGTGGACTTGCGTATAGATCCTATTAAATGAACTTATTATCCAATAGGTTTTGTGATAATTAACGAAGTTTTTTTATCAAATATTATTAAAAACGTCACTAACTATTAATTTTCATTAAGAGTTTGAAAATTTGTCACAAAACATTATTAATTATAAGTTTTAACGACAATTTAAAAAAATCTTCACAAAAAAATCACTAATTTTTAACTTTTAGCAACAGTTTGAAAAATTTATCACAAAAAAAAAAAAAAAAATTTATCACAAAAAAAAAAAAAAAAAAAAAACTGTTATTCATTGTCAATTTTAGTGACAATTTATAAAAATCGTGACAAAAAAATTGTTACTAATTATTAATTTTTAGCGAAATATAAAAATCGTCACCAAAAATTATTTTTAGCGATGATTTTATTTGGATTAACTTTCAATAGAACTTAATGAGAATTAAGTCTAAATATTAGCACCTATCGATAATTTCTCGTAAAATTTTTCCTATATAAAATGATGAATTAGACTAATAAATCACTACCCACTTTCTCTCATCGTCCTCTTCTCTTAACTCTCGTACTTGATTCTCCTCTTTTACAACAAAAACAAGAACAAAAACAAAAAATGGAGCGATTGATATGGTTGTTCCAATTCCTTTTGTATTTCATGCAATATCATCAGGTTTCTTGTTCATCATCTATCTCTTCTTTTTCTACTTGTACACATCATTTGTGTCCACATGACCAGAGGTTTGCATTGTTGCAATTCAAGCATATGTTTACTATAAACAACTCTAGCTATGCTTCTTGGGCGTGTGGCGATTTGGCTTCTCCAAAGATGTTATCTTGGAACGAGAGTTGTACTGATTGTTGTTCGTGGGAAGGAGTCACGTGTGATGGTCTGACGGGTCACGTGATTGGGCTTGACCTCAGTTGTAGCCAGCTCTATGGCAGTATCCATCCTAACAGTAGCCTCTTCCAACTCTCACACCTCCACCACCTCAATCTCGCCTTCAATCACTTCAATTACTCCCACATTCCATCAGCATTTGCTCACTTTCCCAATTTGACACATCTCAACCTATCTGATTCCAGTTTTTCAGGCTCAATCCCATCAGAAATTCGCCACCTGTCCAAACTAGTTTCACTCGATCTCTCCTCCTATTTTGATCAACTAAGACTTGAACCGCACAATTTCAGAATGATGCTCAAAAACCTAACCCAATTGCAAGAACTTGTCCTTCATGATGTAAACATATCTTCAGTTGTACCGATGTCTTTGACGAATATGTCTTCTTTGACACATCTCGATCTTACTTTCACCGGCTTGCATGGGAAATCACCGGATAGCATTTTTCACCTTCCAAACTTGCAAATTCTCTCTTTAGGAGACAACCATGATCTCACTGGTAATTTACCCAAAGTAAACTGGAGTAGTAGTAGTTCCCTCCAGCAGTTGTATCTCTGGTCTACGAGTTTTTCTGGAGAATTACCAGATTCAATTGGCTATCTCAAGTCTTTGACATCCTTTTGGATCTCGGGTATTCGAGTTTTTCTGGAGAATTACCAGATTCAATTGGCTATCTCAGGTCTTTGACGTCCTTGAATCTCGATCTTTGCAAATTCTCCGGGTCCATTCCTGAATCACTCGGGAACCTTACACAGATCACTTATATATCCTTCCCGGGAAATAGTTTCAACGGTCAGATCCCATTTACTCTCTCAAATCTTGATCAGCTCATTTCCTTGGATCTCAGCGGTTGCAAATTCTCCGGGTCCATTCCTGAATCACTCGGGAACCTTACACAGATCACTTCTATATACTTAGGGGGAAATAGTTTCAACGGTCAGATCCTATTTACTCTCTCAAATCTTAATCAGCTCATTTCCTTGGATCTTTCTGCAAATAATCTCCATGGAAAAATTCCTAATTTTACACACAGATAAGAATCCAGCTGACATGCTTACAAAGGTGGTCTCGAGAGACAAACTCGAAATTTGCAGAGACATTGCCGGGATGAACTTCAAGTGAGAAGTCAGTCATGCATATGGGTATGGAGGGGGAGAATTGTTGTTCCAACCCACATGCATGAAAAACATGGGAAGGCAACCAACCAAGTCAAGCTTGGCAGCCACCAACCATAGCAAGGGTCAAGAATGGAGGCTACCCAAGTCAAGAATGAAGGCTCTCCCACCTACTCCTTTTGTGTATAAATAGAGATGGGAGGGAGAGGATGTGATATATCAGAAATTGGAGAGTGAGAGCTGTGAGTTGAGTGAGTTTCATCTCCTCCTCTGTATTTTGTATTTTGCTCCTTTTTAGTGAAAATTCTCATTTCTGTCCGTGGATGTAGGCATTGGGCCGAACCACGTAAATATTGTGTTCTCTGTGTGTGTGTGATATTTTTCTGGGTGTGTGTATTTGATCCTAACAGACCACTCCCAGTTCCTCCAACCTTCGTATCTTCCTTCTTCTTCTCACAAAATAAACTCACTGGAGAAATTCCTTCTTCAATTTGCAATGTGAGTTCCCTTTCCATCCTTGATTTGTCTCACAACCACTTGAGTGGTGCAATTCCACAATGTTTGAGAAACCTCAGCAACTTTCTACTTGTATTAGATCTGCAGTTCAATGCCTTTCAAGGGAACATCCCCATGATATTTGGAAAGGGTAATCAGTTGGAAATTCTTAATTTGAATGGAAATCAGTTCGAAGGACCAGTTCCACGATCCTTAACCAATTGTAGACAGTTACAAGTTCTAGACCTTGGAAACAACAAGATAAATGACACTTTTCCATACTGGTTGGGGATACTTCCAGAGTTACGGGTTCTTGTCTTGCGATCCAACAAATTTCACGGTCCAATAGACACTTCCAAGCCAAAACTCTATTTCCCTAAACTCCGAATTGTTGACCTCTCCCACAATAAGTTCACTGGTCATTTACCAGAGAGATATTTCAAAATTTTCAAAGCTATGAGGATTAAAACTATGCCAAATGAAAAATATTTGAGTGTTGGAGCATATTATTCAGTTACGGTGACGATGAAGGGGTTTGATTATTATTTAACGAAAATTTTGACTATCTTCACAGTAATTGATTTATCACCTAACAAATTTAGTGGAGATATTCCAAATGTCATCGGAAAGCTTAATTCTCTCATAGTGCTTAATTTATCTCATAATAGCCTTACAGGCCTTATTCCATCATCTTTAGGAGACTTGACGGAGCTTGAATCACTCGACCTCTCTTCAAACCAGCTTAATGGGAAAATTCCTAACCATTTATTGAGTTTGACATTTCTTGAGGTCTTTAACCTTTCATGTAACCATCTCGATGGACCCATACCTCGAGGCAAACAATTTGAAACATTTGGAAATGATTCATATGTTGGGAACTTGGGATTATGCGGGTTTCCATTGTCAAAGGAATGTGAAGATAATCAATCACCAGTTCAGCCGGGGGTGCTATTACAACAGGAAGATTACTCAAATTTTGTAAGTGGATTTACTTGGGAAGCCGTGGTGATGGGGTATGCGTGTGGAATGCCATTGGGATTGGTTATTGGTTTTCTCATGTTCTTAACTGGAAAACCAAATTGTTTGTAAGAATTGTTGAAGGGAAAAAGCATAAAAAGGTGAAAATGTTGAGACAAGGTGGCAGAAGAAATTAGCAAACAAGGATTATGTTTTCAGGTATGTGATGTTGATTCTTAGTTTTAATGATTTATTTTGTTAGTTATCATTATCATGAATCATGATTGTATTATACCCTCTAACTTCATGGTACTTGTTGTTTTTTTCTGGTTCTATATCTTTAAAAGTTTGCTATCTAATTACAGAAAAAGGTTATTATATATATTCTGCTAGGGGTCCTGCCTAATGCAATTCAAGGTTATCATATTTTCGCGTCAGACCAGTAATTCACCACATTCCCCACCTTTTATTATTTATTAATGCTCAGATACACCAATTTTGGCCCCGAAAGGCAGAACCCTATGAAGGAGGTGTTATCATTTTTTTTTTTTTTTGGTAAATCTATTTTACATAGACTCAAATATGAGTATTGATTATCAGTATTTGTCCGAGGTTCGAATTCACCTAATTCTCATCCGAAAGGACAGGAGGACGTGGATAAATTTCATAATTACAGGGATGGGATGTAATTTACTTTGTATATTTGTATATTATGCGTAATTTAGTTTTATAGTTAACTCATTTACTTAAAAATATTTGTCGACTGCATGTCTAACTAAACGTGTTGCACTCATATCCCCTGCCTTAACCCAACTGTCAATTGTCAAGCATAGATATTTCACATATTTAGAATTGTTCATTTAACACAATTTTTAATTTCCCATCATACTTTAACTAAGGTAGCCTTTAATTGATTGGAATGATTTTGGGAAATATAGAATGACTATTTCTTGATCACTCAAAAAAAATTGTCATTTTTCTAAGGATAAAAACAGCTTTAGTCTCTAAAATATTTGTTTCCTATGATTTTAGTCTCTTAAGTTTCAATGTTGTCATTTTGATCCTTGAAGTTGTCAATTGAAGTCAATTTGATCTAATCTCTAATGTCCGTTTACATTGATAACGGGAAACGTATATTTTCCTTGGATAAAAGACAATTTTGGTCTCTAAAATATGCGCGTATTGTCATTTTAGTTCCTTAAATTTTAATTTTATTATTTTGGTCCTTAAAGTTGTCAGTTTGAGCTAGAGGTGGCCATCAACCCGTTGGCCCGCTCAGCTTGACTCTATTTTTTTAGGGTTTGGAAAGGTTGTTTTAGCCCATAGTGTCGAGTTGGGCCAATATTTTTAACCCGATATATTAATGTGATGAGTTTGGAATTTATACTTTCAATCCAGCTTAGCCCATCTCAACCAACTATTAAATTAATTAATTATAATATATTAAAATATTTTTTTTTGTTGGGATGTAAACTTTATCTTTGTTGATTTTATTGAAACTCACATTTGTAGTGATGTTTGATTCAGTTTATTTAAGAAATCCTTCCAATTTGTACACAAAATTCTTCAATTTAAAATGATGTCAATATATTTACTTAAGAAAATATACTGAGTGATTAAATTTAATTATGAAATGTTTTAATTTTTGTTTTTAACATATAGCCCGATGGCTAGACTTGGGATTTGTAATTATTTTTTGGTTGACTTGGACAGATGTAAAGGCCCGATGTTATGGTCAGGTCGGGCTTGGAAAGACATAAAATCCCTTATTATGTAGTGCTGGCCCAGCCCAATAAATGCTCACCACTAGTTTGAGCTATGACCAAATTAACACAAATTGACAACTTTGACAACCAAAATAACAAAATTAAAATTTAAGGGACTAAATTAACAAGGAATGCATACTTTGGGGACTAAAACTGACTTTTATCTATATTCCTGTTATCAATGTAGATGGACGTTAGACCTAGAACTAAATTGACAATTTGAAGGACCAAAATAACAAAATTGAAGCTTAAAAGACTAAAATGATAAGGTACTAAAGTTGTCTTTTATCCTTTTTCTAAATTGGTGAATAGTGATTTTATTTGCAATACACATTCCTTTCTTTTTTACCAAATTGGTGGAATAATCAATACCATTCAAACATTTGTTCCACTTCATCAAATACCAACTTAGAAGCCAAATGGTATGCAAAGCTCCAAGTGCTTGCTGGTTTTATATTTAGGGCATGTTTGTTTGGACAAACTTAGCCATAGGATTGAACTAATAATCTAATAAAATGCAAAAATACATAGTATCTCTCGTACAAAATAAAAGATTAATGAGAGGTTCGGACTATCAATCTCATCGTATCATCTTGTATCAATCCAAACATAGGACAAGATTAACAATCCAAAATGATAAATAATCTTACGACTGACCTAAATATGTTAATCCCATAAATCCAATCTGCTTAAACGAACAGGGTCTTAGAGAATTGAAGTGGAAAACCATTGAATTCAAGCTCTCCTGCAATCCATAATGTTTATTCGCAAGTCATAGTAGCAATCTGCATGCCACGTATTACTAACTCCATGACAAAAATAAAATAAAATAAAAGTTATTCTAGTGATTTTTGTGACCTAAAATTCCCACCCTATTTTGAATATTGGCCAATAATAATTTGTCGATTGCCAAGTGATTATGGCTTATAACTACTACTCTTTATATGTTTTGTTTGCACTGACTGATTTATCAAAGGCTCTCTATTATCTTATTAATTTTTAAATATTTCCCTAAATTTAAGATTTAAACAAAATTTGAATTCTTTAAATATTGTTCATGATAGTAACAATTCGTCCCCACCGTTTATGTGATATTGATATTGTTTGCTTTGGGTTTGTGGACAATCACGGTAAGCTTTGGGTCCATGGTAGGGATGGCAATTTGAAACCAACTTGACAGAAACCCGATCCCCCAACCCCGATTTGAACAATTTTTCCTTGAAAAATACCCCCGACGAGATAGGGATGGTATTCAAAAATCAATCTCGATCAATTTCGAACAGAGGACGGTGATAAGTGTCCAAGCCCCGACCCCGTTTGTCCCCGAAGTGATATATATATATATATACTTCTGATGTACTCTCTGTCTCTCTCTCTTTTCATCTTTTTTCATTTCATATCTACTCTCTCTCTCTTTCCTCTACTCTCTCTCTCTCTTCCTTACCGTCTCTCATCTCTTTCTCCCTTTCACTCACTCACAGTCTCTCTCTCTCCCACCTTCCCCTTCATCTCTGTAAGATCTCAAAATGTGGTGCTTCGATCAGGAAAAAACAGATATCTCATGAGATATTTAGTCATATTTATTTTCTTTAGTTATAAATCAGAAAATATAAAATTATGTCATTTTTTCTTTAATTATAAAGTATATATGATATATGCTTTTTAAAGAGTGTGCACCAAAGTATTTTCTAATTCATTTAACATCGTTTTTAATTTCACATCATACTTCAACTCTAAGACAGCCTTTGGTTGACTAAAACGATTTTGGGTACTATAGAATGACTATTCATTGATCACCTAATAAAATAGTCATTTTTTTAAGAATAGAAGACAGTTTTTGTCTAGAAAGTAATGCATTTCTTTTATGTAGTCCCTTAAATTTCAATTTTGCTATTTTAGTTCTCAAAGTTATCAATTTGGTTCTATATTTAACGTTCATCTAGATTGATTACAGAAAAAAGTATTTTATCTTTGAATAAATGCCAATTTTAGTCCCTATAATATGCATTTCTTGTCATTTTATTCTTTTACGTTGTGTTTGATTTAAGGATTTGGGTAGGGATTTAAAAAGGAAAAGGGAAAATGTAGGTGAAATATGAATGAAATATAACTACATTTCACCTATAGTTCACACACCCTTTCATTTTCTCTTGCTAAATCTCTTTCCAATTCCATGAACTAAACAAAGCCTTAAGTTTCAATTTTGTCATTTTGGTCTTCAATTCCCAAAATGACAAAATTGAAACTAATTAAGACTTCCTAAAAATCTCTGTAATTGAGTTTTATCTTTTATTTCATCTGGAAACTTAGAAGCAAATTCCATACTTCTATTAATAGGAATAATGGTTCCATTATGGACATTATGACCCAAAAATCTGGCAGTAGTCTGAAAAAGTTTCATTTTCGAGGCAGAAACAACCAATCCATTTTTTTATGATAACATGCTTAAAAATATTAAGATGTTTCATATGCTGGTCAATTGATGAAGAAAATAATAAAACATCATCAATATATCAAATAGAAAATTCGGTATAAGGATTGAATATGTCATTCATAATATGCTGGAATTCTGATGGAGCATTTTTTAAACCAAATGGCATGACATTCCATTCAAAATGCCCAAAAGGTACAGTAAAAGTAGTTTTATACCGATCTGTTTCAGCGATTTGGACTTGCCAATATCCTGATTTCATGTCGAATTTGGAGAATACTACAACATCCTGGAGGCGATCTAAACGATCCTTCTTGTTTGGAACTGGCTATCGTATCCATTGTAAGGCTTCATTGAGAGGTTTGTAATTAATGACTAGTCTTGGCACACCTCTCTCAATTTCTGCATTTTTATTTACATAAAAAGCAGTACAACTCCAAGGAGACTTACTGGAACGAATAAGTTGTTTCTGGAGAAGGCCATTAATTTTAGTTTTACAGAGTTCTAAATACTCTTTTTTCATTTGACTTGGCCGAGCGCGAGTAGGAATTTTCCGCTCATCATATCCTGGTTCGTAAGGCAAGGAAACAATATGCTTCTTCCTATTCCAAAAAACGTTAGGAATATCACTGCAGATTTCAGCTTGAAATTCTTGTTCAAGAGATTTAATTTTTTGCTGAAAGGAAGATTGACTAATCCGCTGTTCTGTAGTTAAAAAACTAATTTCTTTTTGTAAGAAATTAATTTGTTTTTCTTTGAAATCTACTAAGTCCTTGATTTGGTCAAGTTCTTTAGTATAAGGTTCTGTAATAAACTCAAAAATAATCGGTTGATTATTTAAGGTTGTATGAATACCAATAGAATCGATTTTTAAAATTGGCATCAAAAGACACAGGAAAGGAGTTCCAAGAATTATGGCTTGAGACATGTTCTTG